CAGCGTCTCACGGGGTTCTGGGAAGCAGCTTCGGCGTTTGCTGGACAAATCCAGGCAACTGCTCTGCTGCTCTTAAACTTTGCAATAAGTTTTGTCCAAAAAGTCTATAAGGCAAACAGCTGCTGGGTTAATTAAGAAATAACTGAGGGAAGCCAGTCGATTGCTAATGGTGTATTTGATTCAAGCGTGGTGGTGGTGGTCTTTTACATGAATACCAACGTATATTCCACAGTTAAGAACTTCTGAATAAAAAGGTTTGGGCAACACCTTCTCTTTCTTAAACTAATTGCCTCAGTTCTGAACTGAATGTTGCTTGGCTTGCACTGAGAGGAAAAAGAGGTGTCATGAACGCAGAATGACAGGTCTGAAGAATTTGGTTTTACAGTATTTAACTTGAAGAGGAACTGTTCAAGCTAATCGGAGCTGCAGCCTGATGACTGCAGCCAGGAGCTGCGAGCAGCCAACCTCATCTGAGGCCGAGCGCGGCGGAGAGGAGCTGAGCCTGCGAGACGGAGGTGGCCCCTCCGAGCAGCGGGCGTGCGAGGCAGGTTCTGGAACCCGCAGCAGTGACATGGAGTGGTTGTGTTGTGGACGGGGCTCGGGCTGCTCAAAGGGAACTGAAGCAAATGAGGAGCCTGCGAAGCCAGGCAGCGCGCGTCTGGGTGTTTAGTGAATCCTTTTAAAGCACAGGCTTGACTTTGGTTGCTTTGTTTGATCTCCTCCTTTCTCTTCCGCTGGTAGTGTTGCGAGTTAGTTTCTGTGATCTTCGTTCAGGAAGCATCAATAACATTTAATTTTGAGTTCCTGAGGACAATCCAGACTTTTCTGAAGGTGCCTTTTCGCTGCCAGGACAGGGAACTCGAGCTCCTAACCAGGTGTTCTGAAACACTGTAGTCGAACGCTTGAAAGCAGACAGCAGCTTTTGTCTCGGGATCTTTGGGGTTGCCTGAAAAATAAGGTACAGAACAGGATTGCGTTAGAAGTCCTGAAGCTTTCGAGAGGATTAGCTGACTTGCTTTGGCTGTCAGCGTTGCATTTTAGACTTAACTGAAGTGTGCACGTGCTGATTGTGAATTCATTCCTTCACAGCGTGCGTGGTGGAATTGTGTTTTCCTTGACTATCCTCTAGCTCAAAAAACTTGGCTGCAGTGAGGGAATGGTGTAAGGCTCGTGCTATTTTTCATGCATTAATGTTTGGGGTAGGTCTTGTTTTTCGCTTGCAGCCAGGGCCGGCATGCTGTTAACAATCGGTAATTAAAGTGCATTGGGAATATTATTAAATGTATTGGGAAAAATGTAATTGATAATGGCTTGCTGTGCCTGCTTCGGGTTTCAGTCAGTTGGGTGCGTGTTCTTAGTTCAATATATTAGTAATTTATTGGGAAAATTGAAATCTGTGCATTTCAGGTGGGTGAAATGCTGCCCTAATTGTTGCCAGCGATGTTTCCTAGCTAGAGAACCAGGACCGCGTGAAGCACTGAGTATTGCTGGCCCTCTTTTTTAGCAGGTGAGGCTTCCTGCTTCCCTCTAGGTGACAAAGCCCCCAAATTGTCCCTGTACACACAGAAGCGATGGACGCCATTGACGCAGGTGAGGGTGGTACCATCTTCATACAGCACAACTGTGCGTTTGCTTTACCGAGGGATAAAGGAGGCTCCCCTAGTCCTGGGGTGCTCGTACTGGCTAATGAAAAAATCCACGCTGCTTCCATTGCAGTGGAAGTAACTCTCTTGTGACCATTAAAGTTAATGCGTGCTTTGAGAATTACCTGGGACGTTCAGAGTACTGAACTGCTGTTACGTGATATCCTGCAGTCAGCTCCCAAGGAGTTCTGCGCGTTGCTTTTGGTGTGACACCAGCGTTCTCTCTTCTTCGGTTTGCTTCACAGCCTGGATAAGCTTTGAAAAGGTGACAGCTAACTACGCTGGCGCGTGTCCGAGTCCACTGCAGATGCGTATTTCCCTACCTGTCATGTCCCCCAGCCAGCACAAGGCTTCTCTTTGCCAGCCTCCCGTAGGTTTGCTGACCTTTGGGTTTTTTCCCTCTGCTTACGTTTCCACTTCTGGAAAATGTTTAGATTCTCACCTCACAAGTTTCATTAAATTCTCTTCTAGATTTTTCACTTAGATTCCCTTTTAGAGAGTCAGTCTGCTCTGGGAAATCTGTCACAAGCTCAGTGTTAATATTTTGGTTGCAGGATAATTTGAATTAATGTTAAAATAGAATGCTTTAAAAGAAACTCTGAATACTTTAATTTTTGTTGGCTTAATTGAATCTGTTAAATGTAATTTGGACTGTTACAATAAGAAAAATATTCTTTGCCGTCCTTTCAAAATGAGATGGATGCTTCGATAGTCAATTTTAAGGAATTGCTAGAGGAGAATCTTTGATCCACATTTGCCAAAAGTAATGTAAACTAGAGGGAGGCTCTGCTGAGGAGGACAGCTTTGTCAGCTCATGGATACCAGCGAGTGTTCCTAACCTTTGTAACTCTGTAAAGCTTTAACCTCATCATGAAAGTTCCCGATAGCAGCTGGGAGGATTGTTCTGCAGCCAATCAAATGGGCTCGGTATTTGTTAGCCTCAGTTAAATAAGCAAGAATTGATATTTTGGCCTTCTCTTCAGAAGAGCCGCTTGCCAGAATGGAGCGGTGCTGCTCCTGGAGCATAGCAGACTGTATTTTCAAAAAGCTTATGTAAATTAGGGACTTTTTATCCTCTCGGAGTCCGTGGTGTCTTGCTATTAAGATGCATGACATCAGGACTGGGTCTTACAGAATTGCATTGCGTGTCATTAAGTGTTTCTAGAACAAAGAGGAAGTAGCCCACGCTCCGTTTCAGGGGTATATTTCAGCCGTTGTGTTAATAGGTCCATTCATCACTTTATCAGCCTGAATCTATGTAGTTTCTTAGCCCTTTTCACTTGGACCTCTGATTTCTGAACTGCCGTGTTACCATGTGTGTCTTACGGTGTTTGCTAAAGTGAGTAACATCATCTGCCATACTCAGAGTTGCTTTTTACTTCTGATCACCTCCAGAAGTGTAGTAATCTCCCTAAAGTGTTTCAGTTTCACTTTATCATACTTATTCCTTAAAATTACCGTCACCTTGAGCTAAATGCTAACCTCAAAGACGTAAGGTAGTGAGGCAGTGTTTATTTTTATAAAATAATGAATCATCTCCTGGATGTGTCTTGTCTCTTTTGCTTTGATGAAAAGTAAATTCAAGGAAGTGGGATCTGCCGGCTTTCGGTTCTTGAGCAGGTGCCCACGCTGACAGGTATGCTGCGTCACAGGAGTGACCAGCAGCTGAGCTGAGTTAAGTTTTGAACTTGCTGAACTACATTGACAGTGAGAGTATGCGGGTGCAACAGGTTACCGGGTTTTCCCTCTAAGGTTTTTTTGTTGGAGAACAACTGCTCTGAAAACTAAGAAGGGAAACGTACATGTGCCCTTTCACACTGAACTATTTCTGGTTCTTCTTTCTGTTTCCAGCTATATTCTTCTGCGAAGATTAACGAAAGGGGGAAAACTCCGTTGCTGTGTGGATTAGATCAGTTGTGCGTGGGGGATTTTGAATCCCAAAGAGGGCCTTGTAAAAACTGTAATCTTTGTTTTTCCTTCTCTTGTGATTGTCTTGAACCTCTCCAGTGTTTGGAAGCTTTTTGTTACTGAATTTGGGCTTGTCCTTGCAGCAAATAGCTCTGGAACTAGGTGTGACCTTGGCAGAGGAATTATCTCTAAAGCTATTGCAACTGCTTCCTTATCCTTTTGCTTTATGTTTGAGGCCTGGTAGTAAGCCGCTCCTTAATTTCAGAATCCAGGAGGCTGGCCTCTGAAATATCAAACTTCCTTCTTTGTGAATTTGTGATACATGAGCTAGGATTAACGGCTTTTGCCTTGCAAATTCAAGCAAGTGGCGTGAGCGGACTATTGTTCAACGTCTGAAGGAACCCGTTTGGAGGAAACTGTTTTAGTTAGTAGGACAATTTTTGCAAAAGCGTAGTTTTCTTGTCTATGTGGAAGGAGTTAGTTTTATCGTGGTAGGGCGAAAGCCACTACAATGCTTATCCTCTGTGCTGTTGCTGGATTATTGGACTCCTTACCCAAACGCCTTTGAGCTTCTGAGCAGCTCTCAGAAAGGGACCTTGGAGGGCGCCATCTTTTGCTGTAGAAATAACTGTCTGTCGATGTCAGGTTCCAGGCTGGAATCCAGCAGTTTCTCTTGTCTCATTGTTTACCCTCTTACTCTAATTATGGTCTTTGTTGCGCAGTCTCAAAGTGAGATGATCCTAGTCCCCCTCCCAGCAGGCTGTGATGGCGTATATGTTTGTCTTGGCGCTTCAAAATCTTCAATCTCCTTGGTTACAGGTTTAAGGAAATTATTAGCATACATTGATGTGTATAAGATGTAGGTAAACTCATGGGGAAATCAGGTAGTACTCAGGTAAGTTCATGAGGAATCCTGGCATAGCATAGGTGATGCTTGGTTAGCATAGATGTCGCTAATTCAGTAAGTCATTAGTTTCTTCTCCTTGAAATATTTTTTTTTTTTACCTTCCTTTCTAGGAAGGGGTCTGGAGGAGGGAAAATTTCCCTTTCTGGTGAAAGGGGACTGGAGCATTATGACAGTCAAGTCTTTAAAAGCTTATGAGTTACCAGAGTCCTTGACGGCTAGCCGCTTCCTCTGCTGATGTTGTCGGATGTCAATAAAGAGAGGTTGAAGGCAACACTTCTAATGGAGGTAGAAATGCAATACTTGGAAAATACCAAGGATTTTCCTGTTTTGATTAATGAAAAAAATCACATAGGTGCTTAATAGCTGGTTAGACACTTGAGATGTGGAACTCTATAGAAAATCACTAAATTCACCTATATTGTCTGGCTTGACTTCTAAAGCATCTTTGGATTCTGTTTCCTAATAAAAGTGTTCTGGTCTCTTCAGCAGGTAACATCGAAGGGTGCTGGCTTAAACCCTAACGCAAAAGTGTGGCAAGAAGTACCCCAAGGGAGTGGTGAGGCTGTGCCACCAACAAATGGCGCAGAGCACTCGTGGCAAGAAACAGCGGCTGCACAAGGGACTCATACCGAGGGTGAGATGTCGCGGGCCCATGTTCAAACACTAGCCGTGATACGTCGTCCCTTGCTAGGTAGCGCTGAGCGTTCTCTGTAAGAGTTCAGCAGCGAGAAGAAACCTCTTGCTCTTGTCCTTGAGGTTGTTAGTGCTGATGTAGCAACAAGTATGAAATGAACGTGAGAAAGCAGTAGGCGGTTGATAGAGATTATGGGTCTGACCCGTGAGTTTTGGTTTAGGGATTCAAGAAGGTGTCCAGAGTTGCGCTGGGACAGAATACTTTGGCAGGTAACAGGATCCAAGGGGCCCGGTGATGACTGAGTAACGCGCTAAGAGGGAAACAAGATGCTAAATGTGTAGAAATGGATTAATGACTTGTGTTGTTTGCCATTGCTGCACTTTAGTATACGCTTGACCCTGTGAACAGGAAGATAAGATCTGAGGGCCGCCTACAATCCTGGTGGGTCACTGAGGAGCTGCCGAGAACTGTTAGACAGTAGCGTTTGTACTGGAGTAGAAACTCCAAAGCATCTGTGGTTAGCTCCTTTCGATTTAGTCTGTATTCCATTTCAGTCCCCATTTTCCACCCTTACCGCATGGTCAGTCCTGTCATCCGGAACTAAATATTCAAATGGTTTAACTCTTCTGATATGGCTAGATAGAGTTGATATGAAGCCAGTTGTATAGCTGAGGTTACTCAAAATACGGCAGAGGCCTGTTAAGCAGAAGATTCCCTGGAAAAAGGTTTGGGAAAAGTTAGGGATAAAGAAGGGAGGATTCGGTTTGTGTGGCCCTGTCAAAAGTTTCTGGTAAGTCAGCAGAAGTGAAGAGAGAGTACTAAGTTTGTGCATTGGCTGAGAGAAACTCATTTGTCTCTTCATAACAAAATGAAGCAATCATGGCAGTGCTACGCTGCTGGAAAATTAAAGGCAATCTTTCCAAATACGTTGTTCTTGCTGTTAAGCAATTTCTAATGTAAGTAGTTGAATAGTATCTCTTCACAAAGTATGTTTTTTAGCGGATTCATCATTAGCATGGAAAAGATCTAGCAGAGCAGTTGATTTTTTTGGACAATTTCCTTTGCCTGACTGTTGGATTAAACTGAAGTTGCACTTGTTTCTTTCTCAAGCAGCTGCGATGAAGACTAAGCTGAGGTGTCCTGAACAAGAGATTGGCCAATTTCAATGTCATTCCACTATGTTTTATAACAATCACTAGATGCTCCTGAGTCCTTTATGTAAATAAGAATCATGTAATGCGTTGAAGTGATGTAAGCTATTTTAGTGCTTTGTTTTTAGGAACCTCATTTAAATTTTTAAATTTCAGGTGGAAAGCCTGTTTTTTAGATCCTCTGCTACTTTTGGGGATCTTACAATTTCATGATCTTGTTATTTACTTATCCCTGAGACCCTAGTGCAAACCTGAAGATCTTTCTGAAATTGGAGAGGTAGAAAGTGCTATCCAATACAAAGTAGATGCTGAAAGTCTAAGAAACATGGACTAAGTCTAGACGCTTTCAGTTACGGCATTCTCGAGTATTCGTTTTAATGTCAGTAGCCAAAATTTTTCAAATGGAAAATATTCTGAAGCTTACAGTAGGTTTTCTGTTGATGATGTGTTCTTTTGCCAGGTAACATAGAGATTTCGGAGGATAGCTGCAAGCAGTATGAAGTGATGTATTCCCCATCTTGTGAAGCCACAAGAAATGGCACAGGAGTTGATGAAGCATCTGCAAATGGAATTGTCCTAGCAACTGAAGATCTTGGATACCAAATCTATGAAGTGTCTGGTGAGTATTCAAGTCAGAATATCAGTGTCTGTAATCCTCTGAAGTCTGCTGCAGTTATGATGTGACTTGTAAATCCTGAGTAGGAACTTTGAAATGCTCCATTCAATGCGTATTCAAGAAGATCCAAGCCATAGCACTTGGCCCAGTAGGTGAAAACCATGGGATCCAAGTCATTTTGAGAACATGTGGTATGGTGGTCTTTAAGCATGCCTCGTGACCCTTTCCTCTTGGTCTTACCCAGAAGGATTCATTCTTTTACTGTACAATGAAACGTGTTCTTGCGTTGTATTCTTAGCGTGAAACTGAGATCTGATGGTGCATGTGGTAACTTTTAGGTGAAGGCAGCTCCACTGTGTCCACAGAAGACATTAGAGAATGTTTGAAAAAACAACTTGAATTCTGCTTTTCACGGTACAGTACAGTTAGTTCAACTTTGTATAAACCCTTTATTAAAATCGTTGACAAAATTTTCCCTTTTTTTGGCTTGATATGTGCTGTCACCTTCATAAAAAATGTGAACTGTGAGTGAGAGAGTTGGTTGCGATATGAAACAAGATTTGCTAAAATGCTGTAGAAACCCTGTGGTGCCTTTCAGCTGTTTCAGTCCTGTCCATGCATCCTTGTCCTTTAATGAGAATTGAGTATGACAACAGTGCTTCCCAGTTGTAAGATGTTGAGATAATTTAGCAGTGTATTACCAGAAGAGGTCTCTTTGGCAAGATCCTTTTTGCAGACTAACATGCAGAGCGCTGTAACTTATCATTAAGTTTTTAAATTATCTTCTGCTTTGTGTTGATCTGCTAAGATTTTTTCCAGGAGAGAAAATCTGAGTACGCTTTGGCTAGAGTTAGCTGTGAATGGTATTGATGAATATTTAAGCCTGAGGTTATCCTGTTGTTTTGAGGCTTCTGTAAGTAAAGTTCAGAATTTTTATAAAATAGTGAACTTATGTCTTTTTAGTGAGAATCTTTCAAAGGATCTCTACTTGATGTCTCAAATGGATAGTGATCAGTTTGTTCCAATATGGACAATTGCCAACATGGAAGGTATTAAGAAGCTGACAACTGATATGGACCTTATTCTTGAAGTTTTGAGATGTAAGTCTGGCTGTTTGGTGTCTGTGTTAGTAGAACAAAGAATCCTTCTTTGCTTTAGAGAAATGTATTAGTCTCTTAGCTGGTTATGGGATATTGCTCTGGTAGGTGGTGACGGGAACCTCGTTCTGCTGAGATGTTTGAGTAAGTGGCTGTTCCAGGCTCCTGAATTCTAGTTATGCTTTATAATAATCTGCCTAAATCTGCCCCAGTAAGAGGCTACTCTAACCTATTGCTAGCAGCGATAGTCTTATTCTGGGAGTAAACCTAGTCTTCTGATTCAGGGCAAAAGTTTACTAGAAACAATAAAACTAGAAAAAGCTTATTAGAAAAAGTTAGCTAGAATTCTTCCGACATGCTGTCCTGTGCTGATCCTGCACATAGCTTCTCGTGGACACGGTTGTAAGTGAACTTTTTAAGTCTTTATTCTGACTTGATTTCCTTCCTCTTATTTGAACTTTTCCTATTAGGGCTCTGTCTAGGAATGTTTTTATATCCTCTTACTTGAATTTGAGCTGGGAGAGAATTGAATTTGGGACTGAGTTTCTTAGCTATCTGAGCTGTAGATGGAGGCAACGTCAGACAAACAGCAAAAATGTACTGAAGATCTAACAGACTATAGCTGATAAAACAGTCCTTTACCCTGAATTCAAGGAATCTGGTTTCTTAAGCAGTCTGTCGCAGTTCTTTGTTACAAGTTGGATAATGGAGTCTAGTACTGCTGAGATGTTTTGCAGTGCACAATGTCCAATATTAAGCCAACTTTTATATTTTAATTCTAGCTTCTCCTATGGTACAAGTGGATGAGAGAGGGGAGAAAGTTAGACCAAATCACAAGCGATGTATTATCATTCTCCGTGAGATCCCTGAAACAACGCCTATAGAGGTAAATAAATAGAAAAGAAAGAAGTAAAAGCCTGTTGATATTTTTGGAAGGTATCTTCAACGGTGCTTCAAACAGCAACAGGAAGTGTTGCTTAAAAGGTCAACTGGTATTTAATTTGATTAAACACAGATATTTTTCTTGTAAACCACGTAAGTAACTTTTTTTTCTGCCTGGATGTATTGTCAAAAAAGCCAAAGCAAAAACTTGTTGTCATTGTTGTCCCTTCCCATTATTTACTAATGTATTAAAATGCTCTTAAGTAAACTTTTTTCCCCACCAAAAATTGAGCTAGCTAGGCTTTTCTGGAAGGAAGTTTGAACTGGTCTCTTTTCAGATCCAAAAATAAAATCAGTCCAGGGCATAGCTTGGAATTCAGGCTGAATTTTTGTCACAGTGGTAACTTTACTTGAAGTCAGATGGTTGTTTTGGCAGCAAGAAATGTTGCTAAACATTTCTCATTCATTGTGACCCAGTGTGAGCTGAGCTCATTATGTTCGGAGAAGGGAGGATAATAAAATTCCTACTGATATTTGGCTAACAGAATGATTTAGTTCTTTGTTTTTTAAAGTTGTAACACAGGGTGTTTGTCTACTAGCATTTTTAATTAGTTCTTCTAATGCAAATGCTGAACAGCTGCTTTGCCCTCTCTTCAAAATCTGATTATTGCAAAGCTGTCAGGTTGCCTTGATTTAGAAATATTTCTTAGAATCATTCTTGTCTAGATGACTTTTCTGATCTGAAGCTGTGTTTTTGCTACCTCTTTCATATAGAAATATCAGCAGTTCTACACTGATCTTGATTTTCTTACCAGATGGGCCTGCTGCTTTTTATCTGGGGAGCTCAGTAGGCTGGGCTAGTATTCTTGGGTTCAGAAACAGGTAGAGGATAATTTGGTGTCTGGCAGACCTGTCAAGGGAATAAAAGAACATCCCTGATCAAGGGAAAATTGCAGCTGAGGAGCTGGCGTGTAAACTTTTGTTGGTTTAGTGTTCAATTTACAGCTTAGAGCTAGGTCATCTTAACTGCCTGATGTCTTCTCTCCCCTAGGAGGTTAAGGCTCTGTTTAAAAATGAAAACTGCCCCAAAGTGATAAGCTGTGAGTTTGCTCACAACAACAACTGGTACGTTACATTCCAGTCAGATACAGATGCGCAACAGGTAAGGCTGCCTTCGACTGTTAATGACATCTCAATTTTGTTACTAATACTTCCCCTGCTCAAGAGAATTGCACGTGTGCTTCCTGCAGCTAAAAGAAATGTTTATTTATTGATCCCCCTTTTGTTATTTTAAGAGGTTATTGGCAAATTCTAGTTAATAGAGAAAAACGCTGAGAGGTTGTAGGGTTATAATTCCCTTGTCTGCCTCTTGCCTCAGTACTCTCTGCCCATAACTGACATCTCCTATCCTGAATTTGAAGTGTTAATGAATTTAGCTGGGCTAACAGGGAACCACATTGCTACATGTTCATGTTAAATCGTGTAATATCCTTTGAGAAGTACAATTTTATCAAGATACTCTAATGTTAATCTTTTTTGTATCTGCAGGCGTTTAAATACTTAAGGGAAGAAGTGAAAACCTTTCAGGGCAAGCCAGTAATGGTAAGGCTGCTTTATACGAGGCTTCTGTTTGAATTGAATTATATATTGTTTCTATTTGAATGATAGTGTGCATTTGGCGGGGGGAACTAAGGAATTAGCAGTGGGATAGTTCATAACACTTGCTCTGTAGGCTGTTAACTTGAATGAGGTCATGGGTAGCTCTGAAAAATTACAGTTCAGTGGCTGCTGGTTATTCACAGTGCTGCTTCCCATGAGGTGTGAAATACATTCCTGTTTTGTCTTTCCTTTTCCACTTTCCCCAGAATCTGGGTCTGCAGAACTCAGGAGAGGGACTCTTGCCATCATGAGTATCTAGCTTGAGTTAGCTGCTCTACAAATAAGGCTGAAGCAAGCTGTTTGTACTGCGAGAGGAATTGTCAAAATCGGAGTCTGGACAGTTACTGCTGTAGAAAGCAGTGTTTGTCTTAAACTTGGCAGATTCTCTACCTAAAGCCGCATGTGTGTCCTTTCCTTTAGCATGCTGTAAGAATGTAATCTGTATTGATTTTTATCAGTTTTTATTTGTCAGCAGTAATCAACCTACTTCCTCTTCGCGTCCCTTCTGTTACCATTTCAGCGGGCAAGAAAGATTCCATGTTCTGCTTCTCCTTTTCTCCCAGCTAACGTACATGATGTGATCTGATATCTTGCAGGCAAGGATAAAAGCCATCAACACGTTTTTTGCTAAGAATGGTTACCGGGTAGTGGATTCCAGTGTCTATACTCAACCAGTTCAAACACAAGCACAGTTTGCCTCGCCACTGTTTATGCAGCCTGTATATAGTCCTCAGCAGTACTCTATTTACAGCATTGTGCCTCAGACGTGGTCTCCAAATCCTGCACCTTACTTTGAAACACCACTGGTAAGTAACAGCTGATGGAAATGAGGGGAGATAGCCCAAAATGTCAGTAATAACTTGGTTAACAAATCAATAGGGTTAGTGGGCTTTTCAGCTGTAGAATGCGCAGGTTTTCCAGTCAGATCCCTGTTTTATGATACTTCGTGTTATGTTGCGGACCTGATAAAGCAAGACTGTCAGAAAGGCTGTGTCTCGCCATCGGCTGCCATTTATTTCAAGAAATTTTGGTGTGAAACCCCGTTATCCAGTAGCTAGTGTTACTGGAAGGGCTTTGTAGCTCTTCCAGGAACAGGAGGACTGATGCTGAAGTAGATGTGCAGACTGTTAACCTGGTGGGGTTTTCTCTTTAGTAGTAAGTTTACAACATGCTAGATACAGTAGCCCAGCGTAAAAGTACAAACAGACTAGACGAATAACTGCCGAAGCTGATCTCATAAAACTGCAATCGTTTTTCTTTTTAGTTCAGCCATTGAGACTGTTCTGTCTGTTGCAGGCCCCCTTTCCTAACGGTGGATTTGTGAATGGCTTTAATACACCAGGATCATATAAAACAAATGCTGCTTCTTTGAGTATAGGTCGCCCATTCCATAGAAATCGGTAAGATAGCTCTGTCAGTTGTTTGCTCTCTGAGAACTTACAGTATTGAGATCCTGACGTGTTCCTTGCGCTTGTAAAATGCAGTGCCTTCTGATGGGACTAGGTTGCCTATTTTGTTTATCAAATATGTATGACGTTTTTCAACTTGATTTATAAAATAAAATCAAGGTGGCAGCTTAAGATCCTAAAATAATGGACATAATGTGCTGGAGAGAGCAAAGGTAACTCCTTTAACAGCCTCAGAGGAATTTCTGCAGACAAATAAATGACATCCTCTTAAGGTAATACTTCTAATTATGTTTGTTACACGCAGATTATAAACTCCTGCAGCACAAACGTAAGCTTTTCCTGTTGTGTGATTAGTCTTGCAGAGAGCCATTCAGTTTATGCAGCTGAGAGTTGCATGCCCTGACTGCTGTATGCTAAAACTGCTTGATGCTGAGTCTGTTACTGTAACTTATTTGCTTTATCCCCATCTTTCCTGATAACTGTAAGGACTCAGATATAAACACTGGGGAGGAGGACACAGCTTTATATTTGCTGGAACAGTACTCTGTAAACACAATGGAGTAGTAATCTGTTTGTATGGGTGGAAATTGTTTTATTTGCAAGCTCTTTCACTGTATTCAGCATGCGGGCTGGTAGCATGGGAATTGCTTTTTATACTGTTTGAGAAATCGGTTGACAACTGCCAGTACCATAAGTGGTTTTGTGATGCAGTTAAGGTTTGTGGCTGTTGGCAGAAGGTGAACTTTGGAATTTGGTCTGTGGTGACTCAGCAGAGTCTTAATACAGGCTGTGAAGCTGGTAGTATGACTCTACTTGGAAGACGGGGCAGCTGCTTCAGTTACAGCTGCTCAGCTATCAATTAAGATCTTTTTAAAAAGGGTTGAGGGGGTTTTTTTTGCCTTAAATTGTCCCCAAACTTAAAGCCTTTAAAAGTCTCACGTATATGGATCCTCTCAGAAGTATGGAGGCTGAAACTGTACAAGAATAGTATGTACTCAAATATTAACATCTTGAAATGCCCACGCGGTCACTGCTGCCTTGTAGAAAACACCTGTATAATCCTTAAGCTTTTAAAACTTTTGGTTATGTTAAGACTTTCATTTGTGAAACTTCAGTCATTGTGAAGTTACAGCTTTAGGGTCAAGTGTGTACAGGTTCTGCTGGTCTGTCTTGGTTGTCTTATCTTTCCTGCCAATCTTGCTCAGCCTTTGCGCTAGTACAAAGTTCTGTTTTTGCGGTAATAAATCTTCATATTCTGGAAGCAAATGTTAGTTATGCTTCAGCAGGATTCCTTCGCAAACAGGAGACTGCTAAGGTAACAGCGAGGCACAGCCTGGAAGGTTTGGCCCAGTGATGATCAAGTATCGCGCTAAGAGAGAACAGGTCCAACAATCGATTGTCTGGGCAGCCTGCACTTCATGCTTTTCCTTCTTTTTGCTCTCTCACACCATCTCTCCTTCTCTCTGCTTTTTTCCTTTCTTATCTTTCCTTGTCTTTTCTGCTTCGCTCTTCTGCCCAGACAAGATTGTGGCCTTCTCAATGACGGGTAAGATTATGAGATCTGAGGGCTGAGTAATGACTTGAGAATCTTCCATTTTAAGAATGAATTGAACTAAATGGAAGAATTTAGTTAGCTTACCTCCTCGTCCCTATGGTCTTTGCTGATGGAAAACTTAACCTTATTGGGGCTTTAAAACTGGTTCTTAATGCTTCTTGAAGCTGTGAAGTATGAATTAATCTTTGTTCAGCATATCTTCTCTTGAACTGCAGGAGAGTTCATTCGGAGGGGTTCATCCAGCTGCTGCTTTTGGGTTTCTGTCCTGGCTCATTAAACTTGATTTGTTTTGTCATACAGGCAGTTAATAGTGAAGTATTGGATTTTTCTCTGTAGCTAAACATTTGTTTAAGCCTGTGATATTTATTTTGCCCTGATTTGTTGCAACATCCTTGTGGGAAGGAAGATTGAGTCTTTGTAACAGAGAATCCTCAGTGCTGATGTTGGTTAAATGGATATTTTTCTATCCAGCCATCTAAAAGGTAACTTAAAATGTCTTTGGTAAAGCAGATTAATTTGACCACTCAGAATTGGGCTATTAAAAGGTGCTTTTTGTTCTGCTTTCTGGTTACAAATGAAATGCTGCAAAACTTCCAGCTGTTAATTGCAAGGCTATGGAGAAGTCCATCAGGTAGTGGTGGAGTTGATTTTTAAAATACCACAGGACGACGGCTGAGTAGAGGGAGGAATCTGCTGCTGCTACAGCCACATCACTTACTGCTCTTCTGATTTAGTGCTAACAAATGATAGTTTGTCATTCGGTGAATTCTCCTATTTTGCTTTCTTTTCCTCCCAATTTAAATTCTCTAGCCAAGCAGGAGAGAACAAATTTATTGGTGGAAGCTGGAAGGAAACTACCTCTTTGTTAGGCAGTCTAGGGTCTGTGGCATCCACAACATGCCTTTCCGTATTCACTTAGCTTAGAGAAACCAAAAGCTGCATGATTTATGGTCTGTTGAAAGAAAGGACCCTTATTCAGGCTGCAGGCTGGTCCTGGATAACTCTGTAAGAGATCACGTAGTCAAGTTAACTTCTCCTCCCGGACAGGAATCATACTTCGGCTGGCAGTGGGAGAATTTCTTCTGATTGCATGGAATGTTATAGTGAGATTGTTTAAAAACAATAAGCATGCAAAATCCTCCTTCTGTCCTTAAATTATGAGATGTGCAGGGTTGACCAGAGGAGAAAGATATAGTTTAAGGTCCTTACCTCGCTTGCCGAAGCTGGTTGGTGCTGCGTGGAAAAGACAGCGAGGTGCAGAAGTGGAAAATAGTCTAAGGCACCTGAATGCTGCTCCAGAAAACTGTTCCATGTTATGGTAGGTCAGAGTTTTTCTGGGTAATTCTGCATTTAAGACCCTGAGCCTTGACTTGCAGAAACACTGAGCGTGCACAGCTGCATCTGTGTTCAAAGGAAATACAGCTTTAATGCTGAATAATCAATAACTGGGTAAAATGTCTGGGGTATTGTAAACTGCAGAGTCAGAGCTGTGGGTGTTTGATAACAGGAACAGTGAGACTAAGATCGTGGCTTTTCAGGCTCTTGGGGAGGTGGGCTCTCAGCTGCCCTAGCCTTATCTCCTCTGTTCTCTTCAGCCTGTTTAGTCATCATCTACTCCTGGCTTCTTGTTTCAGTTCATTTTTTTCTGCTTGTGGCCAGATGAGTTTGTTCCTCAGGCTTGGCTTAGTTCTCCAGATCACTTTCCAATACCCTGTGCCCGTGCTGCAGGCCCAGAGAAACGAAGAATCCCTCTTTGGGTTCTTCTGGCTTTTCTGTCTCCCCTAGGTTTTGGGGTTTTTTTGTTGGTTGGTTTGGGTTTTGTTTTCCTACGCACCCCCCCCAGCTTTGGTATCTGTTGGGCAGTGATCTCGATGTTTTCTTCAAATGGCAACACTTGACAGGAGGGGAGGTTGCAAGAACACTAGAACCAAAGGAATAGATGGAGGTAAGGAAGAACAATTTCTTTGTTCTTGACACATGTATGTAGGAAGCAACTTCTCTGATGGAGTTCCAGTACTTACTGACCTCCTCCTTTCTTGTCGGCTACGAATTAACTGTAGTTGCTGGTAGTTTTGCATCTTGTTCTTTGAACTCTGGGTTACACAGCTGCTGCTCTGTGCCCTGCAGTGTGAAGCCTCACTTCCGATCATCTAACAGCTCAGAACATGCTGCGGAGGGTCCGGCTGCCGTCAGTACCATGCCAATGGGGGATGGACCACTGAACAGAACCAACTCAAGGAATTTTGTTACGGAGCGACATAACAGTACGTTAACTGGGCACCAAGACCAAGGTTATTCCCAGAAGGATTCTTCTACCGGACAGATGGAGCAGAATGGAGATTATGGCATTGGCAGGGGCAGGTAAAGAACTGTGTGTACTGCTTTTTGCTGTAACTCAACAGTGCAGTTGGGACGTGGTGTTGGAGGTTCAAATGACTTGTGTGAGCCAAGGATCGTCAACCGTTGGCACAATACATATTTCTGTAAAGACTGACCAGGAGAAAATGGATATTTAAATAAAGCAGGCGTGATAAATACGTAACTGGGAGCATGAATGCTTCCTGCTTGACTGTACAGCGGTTAGTTATTCTGATAAACACCTTGCAGTAGGATAGCGAGGTGTCTTTATTTCAAAATAGTTATTTTTCCTGATTTGTCCCCAGAATTAAAACAGCCGCTGAAGTAAAGTTGGTATTTGTATTGCTGTAAATAATAAGCAAATCCTTGGCTGGGGAATTTGATGCTCCTAAACACTGTAAGATAACTGATTTTATCTTTTGTCTGTTAACTCAGGGTTTAGACACTTAAAAATAAGTGACCAAGACAGATATGTGAGAAATCAGATGAATAAGTTTATTACTATAAAATTATGGGATACTATTCAATTATACTATAGCCTAATTGTCACTGTGCTTGTTCAGATACAATGCTCTAGGGTACCTCCTCCACGGGGAGAGAAAAGAGAAATTGTTTCCCGTATTGGCTATGTTCCAAGAGTGTAAGAGCTTTGACCCCTCCTGAAGATGGAGAACATCCCAGAACTGTATCTTGAGAAACATCAGTAGGCTGCTGTAAATCCCCTGCCACAGGCTCCCCTTTGTGCAGATGAGTGTGCACTTTAGCTAGATGAATGCACTTACTGACCTTTTTTTTTTTTTTGCCTTTAAAGGAGGAATGTTTTCCGAGGTCGGAGGAGACGAGAAGATGACCGGGTTTCAGTAAGTTCCTCTTCCCTTATTGCAGGGAGTTGCACAAAGTGCAACGTGTTGGCTTTGCATTTATCGAAGGAATGGCATAGTCCTTAAATTCCCAGGTTACATTGTGGGTATTCAGTGTTTCTAGGAAATTCCCTGACACTTGCTCAATGCTTTTAATGCAAGGTGTTATGGCTTTGTTAACGGGTGTTTTCCTTCTCTAGAGACCTCAGCCTTCAGCAGAAACAAAGACTCAGACACCAAAGTTTGACTTGCTAGCATCGAATTTTCCACCTTTGCCTGGCAGCACAGCAAAAATACCGGGAGAGCCTGTGCTGGAGAGCAGGATGTCCGATATCGTTAAAGGGGTCTGCAAAGAAAAGGTACCCGCTCTTGTCTCTGGCACGCACACGGTAGTATGCATGTGCTGTGTCTCCCTTCTCCCCTGCTTAAAGAATCAGTTTATGTTAGAGCTGCACGTTAGAATGCTTTAAGGCCAAACATCATACTATGTTTGTTAATATAATAGTGCATTTTCTGTCTTTCTGTTCTTGGATTTCCTTGGCTTTTTGTGGGTATTTAGCTGAAGCTTCTGTGGTTACGTTGTTGTAAGCTCGGTACTGTTTTGGAATAAAGCAGGCAAATGAGGAGTGTTGGCGGTTGAAGTAGGAACAGTTTGTGTGTAGTGTAGGCAAGGGCTGTTTCCAGGTGAATCTGTTAGTTGAGCTGGTGGGACTAGGCATTGATAATCTGGGTGATAGAGCCTTACTTCGCATTTTATCCGCTATTTGTTTTGCCCATATAAAGGGTGATTGCTTTAGCAGCGATGCTCCAAAAGAAGTAGAATTCCTATAATCGGGACTTGAGCAGCCTTTGAAAATCCCACTTTTCAGATGTCTTGAACTGGCATATTGAGGAGCAATTTAAGCACATCTGCAGTCTTTCCATATTTTGCAACTTATGCTTTCTGTACAGGAAAGCAAAGATTTGCTGCCCAGCTGTTCAGCTCCTGCTCAGGAAGAACAGACGCACAGCACTGTCCAAGAGCCTGTGACAAGTGTGAGTTCACCAAGTGAGACTGAAGCTGTGGTGTTAAGGTATGCAGATTACTTGAATCAAGAATATTAAAATTTGCATGTTCTAGCAAAGACTCTAGCTGGTGTCCAGCAAGGTGGCAGTAATGTTTGTTGTTTCTTCTGTCTGTGGTAGGCAGCTTCTCTAGAGGCCACTAGATGGAAATAACAAATTGTGGTGGTAATGGCTGTACCATCTTGTTCTGCAAAAAAACGCAGTTGTGACTTCAAAGAAAGAAAACACTTTCTCAGACGTTAATTTCTGTGTTAGTAGGTTTTAATGTTAAATTGTTCTTGATTTAACAGCACAGTTCAGCCAGACAGCAAACCGGAAGAAGTGTCTGCTCAGAAAGACGTTACGAGCCACGCTTCCCCACCGGTGTCTGTCTCTCCTGTCAGTGCTGCAAAGCCGCCGAGGACAAATGCCACTTCACCTTCTACTAATGCAAGTGCAGCTCCTGCTTTGTTGATGCAGGTAAGGCCCAGAGCAGGGAGTGAGCGGGGAGCATGGGGAGCTTTCTCTTGGGTGTGCTGATGTAGCACTTGGGACCTGCTCGTGTGCAGTTTGCCACAGCTGTGGTGTAATCGCTCGCTGTACGTGTTCTTGCTGTTGTGCCTTGACATTGTGCCTGGGATAGTCTGGAAGAGCATAGCGTGGTTATTCTGGCATGTAAACCTTGCTCTTCTCCCTTGGTCCCAAAGGAGCCACGCAAGCTAAGTTATGCTGAAGTTTGCCAGAAGCCCCCAAAGGAGCCTCCTCCAGTTCCTGTTCAGCCTCTTAGGGAACATCGTGCCAACATAGTTCCCCCTGCCAAAAATGAAGAAAATGGCACACCTGAGAAGGCTTCGGAGAAGGCTCATGACAAGGTTGAAGGTCGAATGAAGGATTATTCTGGGTTCCGAGGCAACGGGCCTCCCAGGGGAGCTGCTGGGAAAATCAGGGAACAGAGGCGCCAATTTGGACGCAGATCATCGCCTCAGGGAGCACCTCGACGTATCGGCAAGGAGCAGTATGTGCCACCCCGGTCACCAAAGTAACACTTGTCCAGCCAATTATTCTCTATTTAATTTGAGCTGTGGACTAATAAGCAGCAAAGGAGACTCTGAGAAAGAAGTATTCATGAAGGGGAATACTGAACTGGAGCGTGGCTTGTGTGGAGAAGTTGTGGAGGGTCCCAAAATTCATCTCTAAAAGTGATTTCGCAAATGCTGGAGGATTCCAATCAATATAAATATAGAGATTATAATTTTTGTATTTTTGTTTTTAATTTGCAGAGGGTTTCCTGCTTGAAATCAGTTTTGGGGTTGTGAACTAGCATTTTGACAAAGTGAAAGAATATGAATTGACAAATTAACCTGTCCCTCAGTGTAGGAGGAAAAGGATAAGAGAATATTATTTTTGAAAAATGAGCATTTCTGTAAAATTAGAACTTTTTTTAACCTATTTAACATTTGGCTTGTCGGATGATGTGTCTGCCATTGATGGCCTTGCATTGCAGAGCACGTCTGCGGCTGAGGTGCTTGGTCGGCGTGTGAGTGGAATGAGTGCAGCCAGATACTGTTGTCATGACTTAGTCACTGATGATAAAAACTGAATGTACTACTGTAGTAAACTTTGTGTTTCCAGCTTGAAGTATAGTCTCTTGACCTTACTAATAATTCATTCAGCAAGCTTTTTAAACTATAATTTTTACAGGATACTGGATTGTAGATCAGAGCACATGGACAGCAAAAATTGTCTTCTAGACGCAATTGGAAGGAGGCAGAAGGGAGCACGTCAGAATTTTTAATTTGCCCTTTTTCCTCGCCTCCTTTTGAGGGCAACTTCTTAGGTTTGTTTGTTTTTTTCTTGCTTGTTACTTTCTCTAATCTCTTTATTACGGACTTTTGTGCATTTATCTTGGTATGTTTTCCTGAGGCAGGCCCAGTATTGGATTGATGGGTGGCTACACAGTACGTGATGTTAGCCTCACAAATAGAGAGCCTGGAATTCCGGTTGCAAGATGTGGAATTCTGCCTTGCAGGTGGGAACTCTGGGCCCGGAGTTCTGCGTGCCCCACTGGGGTTAAACTGATGTCTCTTTGAATGGCTAGCAAATCAGAGACGTGGCTGGGTTTTCTATATACTGACCTATCTTTGCATTCTGGAGTAGGGTATTGGATGCTGTATACTAGAAATCAGGGTTTATGTCTACTGGGAACTCATTGTTTACAGCTGATGTAGTAGCAACTGACTTTTTTTAACTTTAAAGTGGAGTTAAAGGTAAAGAGTTAAACAAAACCCCTCATGTTCACAGAAGCTACTTGAAAGGTAGCATCTTGCCTAGCTGTATGCTGACTAAATTTGCAACACTATTGTGTAGTAAGTGGTTAAGTTTAAAGGTGATAACCATAATGACTGAAATAGGAAAATTCAGTGCATTAATCTGCCAAAATCAGCATGCCAGGGTTCAAAGTTCTGTATAAAGTGTTAGGGAAAAGTAGCTTCCAGCAGTAAGAATCACACCTTTTTTTTTTTTCTTTTTTTTTTCTCTTTTTAGTGAATAGCAAGTGTACAAATTTAAAGTCGTAAGTTGTGAACACTGGAAAACTCAATTGTGATATATACCGTAAACATCTTAGTAATATATGCTAGTGTTGCCATTAGAATGAATGTAAGTGGCAGATAAAATAACTGTGAAAAATTTCATCTTCTGACTTCTTAGCCAGATAACCCGTGGCGACTTCTTACTCGGTAGGCATTCTCTATCAACTGCTTTGAGAACACTCATATCTATTTTTATAAATATATATATAAAGCCAGAGTTGTCATTTCTCTAACTTATTATTCAGCTTGGCAATTGCTTTGATTTGATTCATAACACAATATAGTGTATTTATGCAGTTAACTGTTCATTTCTACGCATGTTATATATATACATATATATATAAAAAAAAAAAACCAAAATCATTATTCACTTTTAAACTACCTGTACTGGGTTTGGGAGGTTTTTTTAATTTCGTAAAAAAAATCGTGGCTCACGTCTACAGTTTAGGGATGCTTACAGAACCCTTCTCCATTATTTCAATAATGCTACATTTGTTGGAATGATAGAGAAGTTTATATATTTAAAAGTGTTAAAGTTCTGAAATGAAATGAATTCAAAGTTAATTTTTAATCATTTTAAAGGCTATAAACAATTACTGCAGTCAAACTGGAAAAAACAAACCTGTATGATAGTCACAGATATTTAGGATAGATGTGCACTGTCATCGCAAAGTTGAGTAAGGGTTGGGATGCTAATAGCTGCCGTAAGCTGTTTGCTGTTCAGAGGAAGAGTTGCTTGGGAAGAGGCTTGTGCAGATGTTGATCTCTGGCCTCCGTGGTAAAGGCGGCGTGCTAATTCTGATCCACGCAGGCATCCGCTTTCAGTGCAGTGCATAGAATAACCTTGTAGTGCTGAAAGTATCTGAATTTTTAGCAATTGTGAAATGTAACTTCTTCATTTATTAGATGTGGAAAAAAAAAAAAAATAACCGCAGTTCAATCTTTCTTGTAAGGTGATTGGAAAAACTTGACTGTGGAAAGGATGCTTCGTATGTCCTGGGTGTGCATTTTCCAGCAGCAGATTATGGCTCTTGTACAGTGTATGCAAATAAGTCTGTAAACCTGTTGGCTTTTTCCAGCATATTCAAACTTTTATCAGATTAGGGCGCTCATAATTATTTATTGAATACCTGCGTGCAAGGATTTAACATGAGCATTTCCCTTCTCCCCTCTTCCCCGCTGCCATTTATAACTGTGGTTCTGTTTTTTTTCCTTTCTGTTCTTTTTTTGGGGGGAGGGGGGGATAACCAAGTAAATATAAAGGCTGTGAAAACCATAGTTTTGTGTGCGAGTTCTCCTGCAGTACTTGTATTGCATGGCAAACATATAACTTAGACGGGCTAGCTGCTACATTCTCATCCCCTGTAACGGACTCAGGCAAGCTATTCTGTCTCTACCCACCAAGTTTGCCTGTTCTGTCAGACCGGGGGAAACAGGGACGAAGGGGTCGTTTGGGAGCCAGCCTGCCTGCTGGTACAGCTCATTGATTTCATTTGAGCTGTGTCATTTTATCAGCAGAGGTGACACTGTCCTTTGTTCAACAGCGATGGTCAGTGTGCACTTGAAGTGACAAATAACAGTTCTCCGTGGTTCCTTCTTGGTAGCTTACCACACGATGGAAAGACAAATTTTCCTACTCTGCTGATATTAAATACCAGAAGGTGCAAATCACATGTAACTTTCAGTTTTACGAACTGTGACTTGTTTTCAGAATTGTTGACTTTTGTTAGCTACAGAAGTATACTTCCCCAGTTAAGTTCTTTTCCGAATTACTGTGCATGGAAAAGATTGGGCCACTCTCTTGTACTTCTGCTGGGGAGTGAAAAGAGAAGTATTTGCATGTGATAGTAAAATTAAAAGTGCAAAAAGTTTTTTCTTTTGATTTCTAAAATTAAGTTAGTTTTATAGTATCTGTCATTCCTGCTATCTTTGTTTTTTTTAAAAAAAAGTTAGCCTGGCACAGTATGATGGTGCAGTTTTAGCAGTAGGTTTAAAAAAAAAAAAAAAAAGAAATTAAAAAAAAAACCCAAGGCAGAAAAAAAGGAACCAAAAAAGGGCT